GTCACCATCCTGGGCCTCGCCTGTGGACACTCTGGCTTAAGGAGTGGCTGCTCTGCCCCTGACTTCCTGTTTTCGACCCCAGGCTCCTGCCTGCTTGCATTTCCTGGCTCTTTGCCAGGGCCTGACCAGGCCACCAAGGCCTCTGCACTTGATCCTCTGAGTATCAGTAGTCACTCTCAGAGCCCGCATACCTGGAGGCCCTGACAGCAGTTTCTGCAGCTGTAAAAGCCTGTCATTTGGGCCAGTGGGCTGGAGTGGGAGAGCGGGGCTAGGGGAGAGTAAACCATCCACATGCAGCCCATCCCCCTAGAGGGCTATAGAGTGGTTCCCTGGCCTCTGGAATAACCTCCTTCTACAGCTGCCCAAGAGGAAAGGTAACTCCCAGTATTGACTTTCTTTGCCCAGAAACCTGTAGCCAGGCCACCTTGTTCAGGGCAGGGCGGGAGCCGGGATGGTTAAAGGGAGATAGACCTTGAATTGTTAAAATTTTATGATATTGAGCAAGGTGAGCAACTGCTCTGGGTCTCAGTTGTCCCATCTGTCAAATGGGGGTACCCAGAGAGGGGAAAGAGAAATCCTAGCCAGCCTAAGCTGGGGAAGGAGGTTGCTTCTGATCTGTTTAATAGTCGATGGTGGTCTGGGTGATGAGCTGTCGGGGTTAAAGTAGATTGTATGAAAGTAAGTGTTAGAATAGAATAAACAGCTAACATGTATAGCATTTTACTAGGTGCCAGGCACTGTGTTAAGCACTTCACATATACTTACATACTGTAATTCTCAGGAGAAGCCCATGGGATATTTGTATCCTTCCTGCAGATGAGGAAACCGAGGCACAGGCAAATGAACTCATTTTCACACAGCTACTGAGTGGTTCAAACTCAGGCATTTTGGCTCCAACTTGCCCTCTTTTTGTTTCTGTTTTTGCTTTTCTTCCAAACATCTGGACTGGCTTCTATCTCTGTCTCCTCTGCCTGGGGACCCAAAGTTAGGGCAACCAGGGGTCCTGGAGTCTGGACAGACAGGGTACCTAACCACTGGGCATGGCTGGGCCCTGAGGCAGGGCAAGGAGACAGGGGACAGACTCCTGAAGGGAGGAAGCTGTGGGCTGTGCATGAGCAGGAACCAAGAATCCAAAGCTCGTAGGTGGGGTGGGAGCTGGCAGCCCAGCCAATGGAACTACTGTTCCTGCCGCCTGCCCGCCTACCCGCCTCGGCTCCTGCCAAAGGCATGGTCCACACAGCTGCCCTAAGCCCAGGGTCAGCGAGGGCTGCCTACCCACGTACGAACGGGTCAGGTGCTACTCCCAGCCCTGGTTACTCTGTGGCTCCAGCATTTGTCATTTTTGGCTCTAAGGAAAAACGTGATGCCAATCTCTGAGTTGTCCCCCCTGCTCCTCATCCCCAGTCTTTGTCACACAAATGCAGACACTTTTGCAAATGGCCCTACCATTTCAGGCACAAGAGTGGAGAAGGTCATTCTGGCTAAACGGCAGGCTTCTCTAGTCATTCAACAAATGTTTATTGAGCACCTACTAGATGCTGGGCACTGCTGGGTGCTAGGCACCTGGGGCACGAGACAGTCAACAAGTGCTGTGTCCTCCCAGCATCCTTCCAACACCCGCTTCCTCGGGTTTTCTCCTCAGCTCTAAGCAGGGAGGGAACCCAAGTGGCCTCCGCTGTGGAGTTTACTCCCAGCTTGGCCACTTGCTGTGCTGCTTTGATGCTTTGATCATGTTATTTATCCTCTCTGAGTCTCCATTCAGTCACCTATCCTGCAAATATTTATTGAGCACCTACTATGTGGAACGCACATTCTCGCAGGGAGAGACAGACAATGTAAGCCAATTACATTGTAAATTGTGTTAGGACATGATTCATCCCATGGAATAAAAGGAGATGCACAGGAAGGTAAGGTGGACTGGAAGTGGGGGCTGCAGTGGGCAGGGTGGATGGGGTTGGCCTCATTGAGAAGGTGACGTTTGGGCAAAGGCTTGAAGGAGGCGAGTGAGAGAACCATGCAGGTATGTGGGGATGAGCGCTCCAGGCAGGGGGCTCAGCTAGAGCAAAGTCCCAGGTGGCAGCAAGCCTGGCATTGGGGAGGCATGGAAAGGAGGCCAGGGTGGCTGAGGTGCCCACTCTCGTGGTGGGGGGTGGGGGAGGACACGAATAAAGTAGCATGTTAGGTGGTGTGGAGGAGACTGGCTTCCTCTGCAAAAAGGCCATGCAGCACCTGCCGAGTGCCTGGCCCGGGGTCAGGCCCAGCAAACAGGAGCTGCCGTTCACCATTGCAATTCACGTCACGCTCTCATCCTTGCTTTCAGTCGCGGCCTGGTGGTTCTTTGTTCATCTGTGTGTGGTTTGTGCCCAGGACCAAGGCCCAAGTCCTACCCCTTGAACCCAGTCTGCCCGGATCCCTAGAAATGGTCGGTGCACATTACACATGGGCTCCAGGCTGGTGCAAGATTCCTAGTCGACTAGAACGTGGGAGCTGGGAGGGCCCCCAGGTTTCAGATGTTGGGCCTTGCCTGTGCCTCCCCACGAAGGTGTCCTAGTTCCTAAAGTGGTAAAGTGAGGGGAGCGTAGGGGCGATGTAGTGAGTGGAACCTAGGCTAACTGGATTCCATTAAAAAACCCTGAGATTATGAACTTCCTACTTTTGTGTCCTTTTCTGAACTCAACGGCAACAGTCAATGGTAATTGTTTAAAGTCTTTACTTGGCGAAATACAAACTTGGCAGCCTTATATTAGCACCTCCCCCCATTTTAAATTTTTTCTGGAAATGTTTCTGCGTTACCCCAAAGTCTGAGAACCACTCACTGTTTGTCCCTCTGCTGGACAGATATGGGATCTATGACCCTGGGAGGTGCCCGATTTGCCTAGGGTCACAGACAAGGGTTAACTGTCCTACATTTGGTCAGAGAATGGGGTGGGGGCAGCTGTGGAAAGAGCTGGAACGAGAGGGAGCCAAGAGGAAGGGAAGTCCTGGACAGAGCCAGCCGGGAGCAGGGCAGCCTCCCAGGCAGCAGAAAAAGGTTCCAGCTCCAGCTAAGGAGGTAGGGCTGTCCATGGTGCATGGTAACAAGGCCCTGAGTGAGGCTGTGGCCAAGCCAGCCAGACCCCACGGGCCGTGGGGCTGCCCTCCACCAGGCTGCTGGAGGCCCAGGTCCTGGAGTCTGATAGACACAGATTCCAAACCAGCACTGCACGCCCTCACCTGCCTGGGGGCCTCAGAAGTATTATTTAGCCTGTCCAGTCCTCCTGTTCTCACCGGTAAAATAAGAATCATAGTGAGAGTTTAACCGGATAGCACAGTGTCTGCCAAAAGCAAGGGGGCCATCGGAGTCCCCCCGGCTTACGTAGCAGGAGGGTTTTCTCTTTCTCTGTCAAAGGGCGCCGAGTGAACATGGCGGCATTGAACCCTGGGAGGAATCATCCTGCCTCCCACTCATTCAGCCCTGTTGCTGACTGAGCGCTGACGGAGAGCCTGGGGCTAAGTGCTTGCAGTGGGTGGCCCTATTGAGGAGGTGGGTACCCTTGTGCCCATTTCACAGCTGGTAAGGCGGGGACTGAGAGCCAAACCCAGAGTGCTTGATCATCGTTTAGGTTCTCGTCATTCTCCTAATCTACTTTAAACTGGAAAGGTAGTGAGGTCCCTGTCCTAGGAGGTGTGTAAGCACAGACTCGGTCATCAGTTAGTGGGAAATAGCGGCAGGAGTTCAGGAACACACTGAGCGACTGACCTGGATGACATTTCACATCACTGTAAACACGGGCTTCCTCTACTTTTAGGAGAAGGACCTTAGTCTTATTCGCCTTGGTCTTTCCTGTTCCCTTGCTGCCTAGAACAGAGCAGTGTACGCTGTGGTCCCTCAAAAACAGGTGAATGAATCAGCAAGTCAGGGAGGGAGGCCCACGTCCAGTTGGCTCAGTAACGAGGAAAGTGAGGTCCAGAGGAGAGAGGCGGATTTGTGGAATCTGGTGCCAGGATGGGAACACCCACTCTGCTCCCCGATCTGCATGCAGGCTCTGGGGCTGCTCGAAGATTTGCAACAAGACCAGTAAGCTCCCTGGCCCAGTGCCGGCACGGCAGGTGCTTACAAGGTGATAGCTTTTTGTTTTAAAGCCAGGTGAATGCCTGCTCTCTGCTCATCTTTTAAGGGTTGAGGTTAAGGATGCAGACTCTAAACGAGATGGAGCTGAGTTGGAGCTCTGGCTGTGAGAGCCTCAGTTTCCTCATCTGTAAAATGGGGGTGATAATAATAGCTACTCCTTGGGCCTACTGGGGGACCCAAAGAGACCATGTGGGTAAGTATTTCATTCTGGAGTCTCTTGTCAGTGTCCCCCTCTCCCTCATCTGGTTCCGAAAGGACTCATTCGAGTGTTTCCCAGCATCTGAAGGGATGGTGGGCCCCGTTTTATAGATGAGGACTCAGGGGAGGCGGTATGTGACCTTCCAAGCAATGTACAGTCATTTTCTGGCTAGAGCAGAAAGTAATAAAATGACAGCTGCTGTTTATTGAGCACTTGCTGTGTGCCAAGAGTCGTGCACACACTCTCCTTGGATCCACATATAAATTTGAATAGTAGCTATGACGATTCCCCTCATTTGGAGATAAAGCAATAGAGATACAGAAAGGAATTAATATGCCAGGGTTGCATACCTGAGGAGCTAATGCTGGACCCAGGCAGCTTGTCTTTGGGACTCACAGCTTCACGGATCCCAGAGCCGGGGTGCCCTGGGGGTGGCCCAGGTCCCTGCACCGTCATTTCTTCTCCAGCAGACCCTCCGGGCCCCACCCCAAGTTGCCGAGCATACTTCCTGCCCGCAGGGTGGACTTTGCAGATCTGCCCTGAGGGTTGACAGGAAGCCAGGATAAACGCTTGAGCCTCCCGCCTTGTCCGGCCACCTGGTGGGAGAGGAGGCGCGGGCCAATGGGCCTCTGTGCCAGCGAGCTCTGCCTGCCGACCCCTTGCTCAGCACTTGTCTTCTCGCCCCTGTAGGAGTTTCTCTGTGACCAGAAGTATAGTGATGAAGAGAACCTGCCAGAAAAGCTCGCAGCTTTCAAAGGTAAGCCGGGGCTGGCTGCCCCACGGCTGGGCGAGCGGGGCTGGCTGCCGAGTCCCTCACACGTAGGATTCCTCACCCTCTCTTCCCCATGGGCTGTGAGACAGGGTACCTGGCCAGAGGGGTCCAGGCCCCTCCACCTGCCTCCATGCCACCGCAGGCCCCGTCGCCCCTCTCCTGCAGGCCCCTGCCTGCCCCTGCCTCCTCCCAGCTGCCCGGCAGGGCTCAGGTTGGCTCCTGTCGCCACTGCCCAGGCCCTGCTCGCTCCCGGGGCCCCAGCACACAATCAGCTCTTTGTAGCAGCCCTGGCTTCTCCCCCTCCATGGTGGAGCGTCTCGGGAGCCCCTGTGGAGAATGGACGTTTGTGTCGCCACAGTGGGGCAGGGGGCAGAGTTTCTGCCCATTGAATCCGGCAGCACGGGATGAAAAGAAAACAGGGCCCCGGGAGCCCGCGCGCAGAGGGGCCGCATAAAGGTCCCTCTGTTCCAGAACCTGGCGCTTGGTTCCCGGCCAGCGGCTCGAAAAGAGAGGAGCCATGCACATAAGGAATGGACAGACCCACCTTTCCTGCCGGGGAGATGCCTCGGGGCTGGAGGACCGCAGCAGCAAATACCCTCGAGGCGCGGTCCCCTCCCCCAATGTCTTGGCAGAGTGGGCATCCTCCCTGCTCCAAGACAGAGGACCTGCCAAGCGCTCCTCATACCGCTCACAGCTTAGTTGTCCTTGGGCAGCACATTGATGGCTAAGCATTTGTTGAACATTGACCTTGTGTGGGTAGCACTTCAAACGCTGTGTTGTGAGCGCCCCAAATCATCTCCATCCAGCCAGGAGGGAGACGATGCCATCTTTAATTTATAAGGGAAGAAATTCAGGCTCAGAGAGGTGGGGTCATTTGCCTGGGGTCACACAGCTCACCTATGGCAGAATGGGGGTTTTGAACCCATATCGGTCTTACCCCAAAGCCCCTGCTCTTAACTATTATTCAGTGGTTCTTTTTACATAAAAGGAAATTAAAAAAAACTAGAACAAAGATACCCCGTCCCTCCCCCAGCCCCCTGCCCTGTCCCAGCCGCCCACAGGACAGCCATGCAAAGGAGGAGAAGTCCTTTCCTTCTCTCTGGATACCAAGGGGTCACTCTTTAGAGGTGGCTGTGGGAGGAGGGACAGAGTCTCAGGGGTGGCAGGTGTTTTGTAGGGGTGGTACCCAATTAGAAAGGCTGGAAGGCCCTAAAGGTATGAGGAGGGGCCCTGAGACTACCTGGGAGGGACATTCCAGGCAGAGG